AATTTTCAAAGAAAGCATATAGCAAAAACTTGAAAGTACAAATAAATCTACAAATAAATTAGAACTTAAATCAAATATATATATATATATATATATATATATATATATATAATATATATATATATATATATACATATACATATAAAATATATGTATATATATATATATATATATATATATATATTATAGAATTTTATGATATGAGTGAAACGAATATTAAATGTTTAATATGAACAAAATGTTTAATATGAATATTAAATGTTTAATATGAAATGTTTTGTTCATATTAAACATTTAATATATATATATATATATATATATATATAATTGTATTATATGTTGACATATATGTATTAACAAAGTCTAGTAATCGGGTATCGGTTTTTTAGGTTAGATTAGAAGAGAATTTAATCCTGAATTTTTTCTCGTTTCGATAGGACGTTCAGTTTTTCGGTATCTTTTCTGCCAATTAGGAAGAATAAAAAAATGAAAAACTGAGAAATTGCGCTATTATCTCTATTTCTTCTATAACTTAGAAAATAATTTGAATTTATTTCTGAAATTTTAGCGATATATTTTTGGCTAAATTTGGAAGACATTTTTCCAAAAAAAAAGACTTTTATTAGCCTCTAAAACAAGCTCCCCCCTTAAGTTTAACCCATAGTATATATGTTTGATGCTTCTGATAATGATTAAAGCATTCATCAAACTAGCGGTGTATAGCATCCAAAAAATATTTTTTTTAAAAAAAGATTAATTTTTTTTAAATTGAAAAAATTTGATTTTTAAAAAATTTTACATTTTTGAAAAAAATACTTTTTTGAAAAAAAAATTTATTAACTTCTCGTAGTTTTTAAATATTTTGAAAAATTTTAACTTTTATTCAAATATCGAAGTGCGTAAGCGCGGCGTCGCCGTCTAACGGTTAAACGATGTTACGGAACCCAAAGAAATGTGAACAAAATTGATACTTATTATTAAAATCTCCATAAAATATCTCTTAATTTTACTTTTCTTACTAGATCTCCGAAACCGCTAGACCTGTCTTCCAAAAATTTGATCAGTTTTTCATCTTGTCAATACAAGTCAATACAACAAATTTTCTTTGAATTATTAAAATCGGACGCTCCGTTCTCTTAAAAACATAGTTACTGTTTTTGGCACTTTTTGCCTCGTATCTTCGGAACGGCTAGACATGCCTTTGCCAAAAACTAATCAGCACGACTCCTTATCAATACAAGTCAAATTAAATTATTGAAATCGGTTGATCCGTGTTCCTAAAATCGTCGACAAAAATTTGTATCCGCACACACACACCCGCACACACATGCACACACACACATATATCCATATTTTCTAAGGTATTCCAAAATGTTCGAAAACCTTTGGAACGTAAAGATATAAAAAAAATTTCATTTTCAATTTTTTTGCTAAAACTATAACTTACTCTACGGAAAGTTAATTAATATAAACATAGTATTCACAAATCAATTGTTTAAGCTTTTTCACTGCAATGTAAAGTTCAACAGTAATTACAGATAATAAACGATATTGCAGATAAATGAAATTACGTTTATAATTATCACTAATATGTGTACCTTGAGAAATACAATGATACGTAAAAAAGTACAATTTAAATATTTTTATCCCAAATTCATTAGAATCAGATTATATAATTGAGCCCACCCTATGAGATTGAGTAATTTTTAGATCACTGTTCACAAAGTTAGAGACAGATCATTAAATCTGATTTAATTATGAGTTATACATTTAATTTCATAAAAAAATATAGACTTTTTTATGCCCTTGAAATGAATAAACATAGTATTATTTTTTTTAAAAAAAAACAGTATTGACATGAATGTTATTTATCTACATCAAATATATTGAAGCAATTATAAAATGATTACATTTATGTCAAGATAACCACAATGATTAAACATGTTATCGTCTTGGAAAGAATTGGCATCGTATTGAGCATTAGTAATTTATCACTTTTACTGTGATTGTGAGGTATTTTAAGCAAAAAAACATATTAGAAATAAGGTCAGTATGTTCTTATTCACATATCTTTTTTATACAATTCACTTATAGTTTTGAATGATTTCTTTTGATGGGCAATGACTTATTACATTACATGTATGTATAAAAACATGATATAGAAAAAATATATAAAATATCAAGTTATACTGAAGTCTTTCCAAACCTAAATCACAAAGTTAATATTGTTTTGTTTATTGAATATACACACACGCATATATATATATATATATATATATATATATATAAATTGTTTGCCAAGAAACACAAACGTGCAAAAATGTTCATATAGGTTACTATTTTTTGTTTGCAAATCAATAACACACCCAAGACTTATCTATATATACATATATAATATTTTTTTTATCTGCGATATTCAAATAATTATTGAATGAGTTTGCTTAAAGGGATCAATTCAAAAAATAACTAGTGGGGTATATGGCATCGTGCTTTAAGGCAAATTGCTGGACCTTCCCTACCGTAACTAAACATTCGAGGAATGAAAATAATCATCAATTGTTTTGAAAATTTTCAAATAGATTATTTATTATAAATACATACTGTAAATTTATAAGTTCTTTTTAAATTGGGCGATAAGCGTATTTTATAAACAACTTTTGTGTAGGTTTACAAAATTCCATTTTGTTTAATTAGATTTTTTTTTTATAATTTAGAAATTTTTTGATAATTTTGAAATTTTTTTCGAAGTTTAAAATTATTTGGAATATAAAAAAAAGTTTTTCAAAAATATTTTGAAAATTTGGAAATTTTTGAATATACTTTATTTTTTTTTAATTTTCGAAATATTCTCAAATTTTTGTAAGAAATCTATTTTTTCAAATTAAGTGTTTTTTTTTGAAAATGATGAAAAATTTCGGAAATTTGAATTTTTTGAAACTTTGAATTTTTTTGAAAATTTTGGTTTTTTTTAATTTTCAAAATTATTAAATTTTCTATAAGAGCATTTTTGCATACCATCTACTCAAGCACAATGTTTCAATTGAATCGAATTAATCGGAATTGAATTGAGTTAATCTAATCGGATAATCCGTTCTCTCAAAAACTGCATAACCGTTTTTACACCCTTTACGCTTCATACCTTTGAAACGGCAAAATTGCCTTTTGCAAATTCGCCTCGCGATCGAGTACGAACCGAATCATTTTTTAACTTTCCGTAGAGTAAGTTATTGTAATCATCCAAAAATCGAAATTGAAAATTTTTGCATTTCTCGACGTTTTGAAGGTTTCTGAACATTTTGGCATACCTCAGAAAAAATGGATGTGTGTGTGTGTGTATGTGCGGATACAATTTTTTGTCGACAATTTTGAGAACACGGATCAACAAATTTGAATGATTCAAAAAACATTCGATTCATATTAATAGGGAGACGTGTTGATTAGTTTTTGACAAAGGCAGGTTCACCCTTTCGTTTCAACGCAGCTAGCGTATCGCGTTTTCAAAAAAAAGTTCAAAATTTTCAAAATAGTAAAGTATAGGAAAAAAACTAATTTTTCAAAAAAGTCAATTTTTTTCAAAAATTTAAAAAATCTCAAGAATCGATTTTCTTCGAGTTCTAAAAGAAAATTAAATCTTTTTTAAAAAAATTAATTTTTGATATGGGAAGTTCCAGCAATTTGGCTTGAAGCACATGGTATGCCAAAATGCTTAGAAACCATTGAAACGTAAAGATATATGAAAATTTTCATTTTCGATTTTTTTGCGATTACTACGGTAAGTTAATTACCCCACGAGAAGTTAATAATAAGCAAAGTAGCATGAAATGATTTTATAGTCTGAAAGTTATTCTTTTTACTAGTATCTATGTTATGTATCTATTTTTACCATCGATTCGATCATTTGTTGTAAAATGGTTTTCAGATAATATAGATTTTATAATGATCACAATAATTCGCAATAGGATGAGACGGAATATAGTGTTCAAATTTGACTTTGGCAATTTTATTGTAAAAACCAATCCGATTATATCACAATAAATAATACATATTAAACAAACAACTATCTGATTATGTTCAGTTAAACTCGCAACAAATTCATCATTGTATAAATGTGTTTCTTTTCTGCTGCTTTTCAAATTTTTGTCACCTTGCCCTTTTTGAAGAATTTCGCAAAATAATGACTATATTATTCAAATGATGCAAAATATAAATTTAATGGAATCATTTTTTACAGAGATAACACTGTATATAAACTTAATCTGGTATTTCATCAGAAATATTCATCAGCAGAGTACAAATAACTATTTATTTAATTCAACTCTTGTAAAATTGCTTTATTTAACTTAATTTAATTTTTATTTTTCGTACCTTACACCTTTGCTAAAGGACCATTCGAATCTTTACCCTGGAAAAGATGTAAAGAATAAAAAATTGTAATTAGAAATGTAATTTCAAATAAAAAAACGATTTTACAAAGAATATATTAAATTAATTGTTTATCTCAGCTGCCCAAATCTGCTGATGAATGTTTCTGACAAACCACCAGATCAATTTTATATACAGTGTTATCTTTGTCAAATGTGCCCATAAAATTTATATATTGCATTGTTTGAATATTGTAGCTATTATTTTATAAAAACCCTTTGAAATTAAAAATAAAACATCGCATCTTTTTGCCCTATGGCTTTCCCATTTTACTCTGCCTGTGGGGTTACTGAGCATAGTACAATAGTTGTTTGTTTGATACGTGTTATTTGTTGTGATTCAGTTCATTTGGTTGTAACAGTATAAGCACTCAAATTCAAATTCAAATGGACCTTTGTGCATTGCAATACCATGTATATTGAATGATTAATTTCTATATGCTCTGTATTTAACTCCTAATATTCTCTTCTAGTATAATAATTAACCAGTCGTAATTTTTTGTGGTGGTTTAACTTTCATCGTGTTTTATATAATAATTATTGACCTTTTTTAATATTCAATAATTAATTTTACTGCAGTTGCTTAACAATGTCGTCAAACGAAGCAAATGCAGAAAATGCGAGTGCGACCGTACCGACTGCAGAGGTTGAGGCGTTGACGCTGAACAAGAGCAATGGAGCACCACCTTCACCTGCACCACCTGATTCACCAGCACCACCTTCTGGAGGTTGGTTTTATTTTATCAAATATAAGAAAAGATTGAAATTCAGTGAATATTTATAATAGAAAATCATAATTTATAAATTATTAAATACAGATTAAGTTTATCACTTCTGACTGACAATAAAGAAACCAAGTTCTTTGAATATAAGAAAAGATTGAAATTCAGTGACTATTTATAATAGAAAATCATAATTTATAAATTATTAAATACAGATTAAGTTTATCACTTCTGACTGACAATAAAGAAAACAAGTTCTTTGATATAAAACACAATAGTTTAGAGCAATACGCATAGGTTACACAATATGAATTCTTTTTCAGAAATCTATTTTTTTAATTATAAAAATCCTTAATTTTGGGAAACATGAAACTGATTGAGAAACTCTAGTTAGTTAACATTTCAGAATTTTCAAATATAATATTATGAGTTTTTGCTTCGTTTCAAATTTATGTGCATAACTGACAGAATTTATAAAATAGAACATTTTACAATTTCAAATTATATTATAGTATTATAATTTATACAGCGTTTGTGCCAAACTCAAACACTTTGAAATATTTTCAATATCAAACAATGATAAGTGATTTTTTGTCATTTTTTCTATTTATTTTTACAATCTAACCATATTACTATAATCACATACATCTTAAAAAATTCCTTTAACAATCTTCAGAAAGATTTATCAAAATCCGAATAATCGTTTAGGAGGAGTATTCTTTCATACATCGTTAAAAAGGAATTATATATATAACATACGTCAGTTCAACGTAATTACATACCCTATATTAAAATTCAATTTGACAGATTATTATTGTTTTAACGTTAAAGAAAAATTAAAAGCGTTGTTTGCTAATATCTTCAGAAATATACGTTTTAACAAAAATAATAAAATTATATAAATTAATATCTTAATAAAGCACTGTTTTCAGGAACAATATTAGGCTAGATATGAAAATGGGGTTTTATAGTACTCAAAATAAAATTTAAAATGAGTATTTCTGCATGTAAAATGAGTGAGCTATCATGCAAATAACAGACGCATACAATGTTTTTTTTTTCATTTGAATCAAATAGTTTATGAGTGCCATTTCCACCAAAATTAAAAATAATCGTATTCCATCTGGAATTAACTTGGTTTAAGAGATTGACGGATTCTAGAAAATACCATAACTTTAGTGCAAACGATTTCTAAAAAGCTCATGATTTTATGAAAAAAAATCTATTTAAAAAATAAAAGATACGTATAAAGGTATATAAATGAAAATTCAAGGTCTTTTACTGACCAATTATTGCTTTTTATTATTTTTCTGTTACACAAATATTGATAGTGTCCAACCAGAGTGTCTTTCGAGTCCTTCAATCCTTTGCCATTTCAAAATAAGAGAACTTACGGTAAAATTTATGATAGAGAAAGTTGTAGCTCATTTTATTACAAGTTCTGATAAAATCAGAATTAAAAGAGTTATAATTCAATTAATGCCGGGGGTGGTGAAGGAGTGCAAATTGTTTCCACTTCTGAACTTAAAATTAAGATTAGCTTATTTCCAAAAAATCAAGCAAATAGAAACATAGTAAAAAAATTCGCAGAGCACACGCTTTTTTCTCTCTATTTACTGCAATAATTTTGTTTATCGTAGGTTGAATAGAGCACATGTGAACAGGATTTGATAAATTAATTCACTTCAAATATGAACTTAAGTAATAATGTATGTTGAATTATTCGTGAGAAAAATGTAATTTAGATATTAAAATTACTAAAAGTCAGTTAAAATATGGTACGAAATTATAAAAATTATAGACAACATTTTTGAAGCAATTATTTTGGGTAGAAACATTCAAGGTGATATTGTACCTTTGCCGCGATTGCTATATATTAATTCTTTCTGAATATGTTATACCTTTTAAAAGACTTTAATTTCCAATACGTATATCTTATGCTATAAATCACAAAGGTAGACGATTTTTCGTGTGATAAATTTGGAAAATCAATGTTTTAGTCGTGAATAAACAAAAAATCATTCATTTATACATCCACATCTACAGGTATGACTAAAATTATTGGATAACCCTTGGCATTAAAATAAATTGAGCTATTGGAAATAAATTTGTTCTATTAATTGCAGTGTATAATTTTTAATATACAATTTTATTAAACATATTTTGATATTTGTTAAAGGGATAATTAAAGTGTAACTGTGGGAATTGAGAATCATAATTCTATTTGAAGCAGTTCTACATTCAACATAACTCGTATTTGTGCAAATAGTAATTCGAAAAACAATAATTATTATTTTTAACTGAACGGTGTAAATATTAGTATATGATATTAAAAAAATGTAGATGTGGGTACAGGACAACGTCTGTCGGGTCATCTATATATACATATATATATATATATATATATATATATATATATATACAATATATAATATGTACTCCCACAGCTAACGATTGAGACATCAAATCGATATTTTTATCGCTAAGATAAGCATGGAATTTCCAGTGTATGAGTTCGGCTATATCAGATTTTAAATTATTTTAATTTTTTTCATAATCCTGTAATACCACTAACATGTGCTTCCATCTTACAAACTATACATTCAAATCTGTATATAATTTTTGTATGTTACAACTAGTCCCGAAGATTTGTTTCAACTTATCCTAAGTGTGATTTTTTTACATTAATCAAGATAACTACTTAAACAATTTTGCAATTACAAAAATTGTTACACATTATCAAAGATTAATAAATTTGAAACGTCGTGAGATATATGAAATTTAAAATTAGTCAATAATAATAACTCAAACCGAAATTTTATGACAGACGAATTTTATATTGCCTGTCAAATGTCAATGACGGACCTGCACAGTTCTGTTTATTGCGGGACAGTTGCTACGATAATATTATTCAAGGAAAAATTTATGTCTAATGCAGCTATAAAAATATTTTACTATCGCTTAAGATCCTATTTAAAAACCCCTGTTACTAGTTACAATAGCCCCTAACTCCCCAAAATTTGTTGGAATTTCTTCGATTTACCAATAGGCGTCATGGAATTATAATTAATTTCATTATAAATTCTAACTTATCTTTTTTTTACAAAAATAAACATTTAACCCATTACAATATTCACGTGACTAGAGTTCAATATGCTCACTATATAAGTGTAATTTGAATGAGTGCATATCAAGATTAGCAGCATTTCATAATGTGCATTAGCACATGCGATAGCGCGTGTCTAACCGGATTTAGTGGTGATTTTGGTATAGTTCAGGTGGAAAATTTTCAAGAAAGTTATATAGAGAGAAAAGTTTAAATTGTGTTAATAATTTATGTATGCGCGTTATATATCTATTGGATTCTTCCCTTATATATAAGCATATTGTGTTGATTAATTAACTTCTGCTACAATAATTCATAACCAGTTATTAGACAGAAACTCAATATTAAGGTATTTTGTCCGATGTTGGGATGAAAAGTACAGGAGCAGAAGGATTTTCTCTACTGCTTTATGTATGTCCCAAACAAATGTATTTGTTCATACAAACGCATTAAGTTTCACATTTTCCAAACAATATTTGGCATGAAAAATTGACATTAATTGATTTGCGCAAATCAATCACCTAATTGAAAAAGATGAAATAATACTGAGTTAATTATAGTAATTTTACTACATTTAGCAAATTGATCAACAATTTACAATGTTAATTTTTAATTTTGGAGCACAAAATTAACATTTTTGAAAAAAAATTACTATGAATAAATTAGATTTTTGAGAAACTATAAATTTTTGACAAACATTTACTTTTTTTCAACAAATCTGAAAGTGAAGTTAGTTCCTATGGAACTGCGCAGATTTACGACATAAAACTCGACTTGGTGCAACTGTTTACACGCCGTATGGATGTAACTTTACACGCCTGATGTCGAGGATTATTCGATAATTTAAACGATCGCCGTGTTAAAAAACATCCTTTATGTAATACCGCTCCCTTAAGTGTATAATGTTGCGCTTTTTTATGGTTTTTAATATGTTTTTGAGTTTTGATTCACACAACAACATTTGCAGTGTACCTAAGATGGAGTCACATACTGTCGAAAAGATACATCTAAGTTATATTTAGATAATTTATACAAGTCCGCTCAAGATGTTTATCGTGATCTTAAAAAGTCCATGAAAGAGCTAAATATCCCAAATATTGAAGTACCAAGCTATGGATTTTTAATTTAAAAAATGCAATTAATGAACATTAATATTTTTCAGCCGCGAAAAGACTTCTGTGACACTTATTTTGCTTTTAAAATAAAAATATATCTACAGAAGAGTACAATAAGCATGTTAAAGAGAAAGGCCGTGCTTGAGATGAAAAAGAGCAGGATAAAATAAAAGCTATTGTTAAGAGATCAAGGCATTCACTATAGACGTTCAAACCGTGCAAATTATACCACATTTACCCGCAGGTGCACTTCATTTTCAACAAAAATTGAAATGTCATCAAATTACTATATATAATATAGCAAATGGAGATGCATTGTGTTATGTATAGCACGAAGATGAAGATGACATGGATGGCAATGTTTTTGCTTCTTGTCTCATCGATTTATTAAAAAATGAAATTTAGCTTGATACGCCAATTGTATTATACAGCGATAGTTGTAGTGCCTAGAACCGCAATGTCACTATAACTAATGCTCTGTACCAATTTTCTGTAAAAAACAATGTCACCATATTTCAAATATACTTGGTTAAGGGTCATACTCAAACGGAATGTGGTTCTGTTTTTGCAGCAGTAGATAGACGTAAAAAAGATCGCGAGTTGTATAGACCTTGTAATTTTGTCCAAATTATTCAAGAATCTAGATTAATAAAGCCGTACAAAGTAAAATATCTTGATTTCAATTTTTATTAATCACACTGATTTGGAATTTTTTAAATCTATTCGGCCTGGAAATGAAACTGGTTCACCAACTGTATTACAACTGAGAGCTTTAAAATATACTAAAGACAAGTTTATGTTTAAATTGTCTTTTGATGACGAATGGAAGGAACTTCCCCAACGTTTAAATAAGAAGCAGACTGTCGAAATCACAGTTAAAAATTTATATTCCAAAAAAATTCCGTGAGGTAGTCAAAAACACAGGAACTTGACTACCATTCTTTTTATGAAAATTTAAAGTAGGGTAGAGAGGGGCTAGTTGAGCATAGGGGCAAGTTGAGCAATCGAAATATCTCGGAAACTATTCACTGTCCGTTTAAGCATTATATGGCGAAAAGATAGAGGTTTGGGAGAAATAAACATCCCGCGATCGCTAGTGGCCGCTGGACAAATGAGTGAGGCTCACGGCCGTTTTGTTTCTTTTGAGACCAAAAAGTAAAAAAGTAATTCAACACGAGTTTTCGTCTGGTTCAGTCAAATGTTATTTATTTTTAATTGGGTAAATGTTATTCTTCCATATAATTATAGTACTTTTAATATGCACAGACATTCTGGGTATAATTCTCGCGGTTTTTTTATAAACTCACTTTATTTTGAAATTCCGAGTTGGGGTTAGTTGAGCATAGTTGCTAAATTTGTTCTGTCACTAAGACAATTACCATTAACTTCTAGAAATTAATTATTATTTTTAAGATTTAAGCTATCTATGAGTAATAATATAAAGAAATAATGATTTTAAACAAAAATACTAAATATAATGGTAAAATAATTTCTAAAATACGATATTGTTTTGTTGATTCTACTTTTCGTTAATTATTTAAAGCAAATTACTATAAGTTTTGTTTTCTCTGTCAATAAAGACTATAAATATAGAACTGGTTATTAAAAACTTATTTTATTTCATCACTAAACGACATTTAACCTATGATTTCATTATACTTTCTTAGTGCTCAACTTGCCCCACCTATGGGGTACATTGAGCATACTTGACTTTTTGCATTTAAACAGCTGTAGCTTTTAAATTTTACTTATTACCAAAAAATAGTATTAACACTTTTGTTAAGCGATAAACAACAAATCCATTAAGCCGTACGGCAATTTATTGATACTTTTCATCGAGGAGCTACATCCGTTTAAGTAAAAAATTGCTCAACTAGCCCCGCCCTACCCTACATTAAAAAATAATCAAAATTATATTTTTTTACATCTGTAAATATTAAATGATGATATATGATATGATATATTTTATAATTATAAAATACATAAAAAGTTTAATAATGTTTGTGTTTTATTAGGAACTAGCTGTACCCGTTCGCGCTTTGCCGTGATTTTGTTGAACAAAAGTTGAACGAAGTTGTGTATTTATTACATTTATTTCAACGTTACTACTATCTGTTCAACAATTTACCTATTCAACAATTTGTCTACGGATTTATCTATTAACTTGTTAATCAATCTACCATTTTACCGGCTTACCAGTTTACCTGTCAACCTATTTACTTATCAACCCGTTTCACATGTCTACCAATTTACTTGTCAACCTGTTTATCCGTCTTGTTATTTGCCTATCTACTACTTGTCCTGTCTACCATTTTACATATACTCCAATTTACTTGACCACCAGCTATCCAACAAATTACCTTTTCACCAATTTACTTGTCTACCAATTCACCTATTGACCTGATTATCAATACACCATTTTACCGGTCAACCAATTCACCTGCTTTCCAATTTACCTGTCATCCCGTTCTAAATGTCTACTAATTAACTTGTTCAATAATTTATCTGTTGAACAATTTACCTATTTAACAATTTGTCTACTAATTTACCTATCAACCTGTTTATCAGTCTACTATTTTACCAAATACCCAACAAATTTACCTGTCATCCCGTATGAAGTGGTTGCTGAACAATAACAGATTGATTTTGTTCAATACTATTTATTATTATTTAATACAATTTGTGTATTGATTGGTCCTTGTTGGCCGAGATGGTTGAAGAGGCCTTTTGCTTCGATGGCCGTTTCTTTTATACAGGACGGAGGCGGCCATCTTGATGCGTGCGCATCACGCAGGGCAATCACGAGGTACGGCAGGGTCGTATTAATGGCAGGGCAGCACTTAGGTGCTGCCGCACGTACTACATGTCTATCAATTATTTGTCTGTTTATTTGACTACATATTCGCCAATCTACCAGTTCTCCTTTCTAGCATTTTACATATCCTCCAATTTACTTATCCACCAGTTTACTTTTATAAATTCTCTAATTCACCTTATTTATTTACGCATTATAAAAAAATTAACGCTCAAATTGATTCTACCTTTTAGTTAGAAAACGATTGTATGTGAAAAAGAAAAGGACTGTTTTTAGGGTTTTCCCGGTAATTATTCGATTTTTTCGGAAATGTCGGAATAACCATCCTTGTACTTCAACAAACATTTTAAAAAAATAATTGGCCAAATTGGTCCAGGCGTTGTTGAGTTATGCGCTTACCAAAATATTCATTTTTATATATAAGATTATTTAAAAAGTTGATCGCTTCTAAAAATAAAATAATAAAAGACAATTTATTCATGTACTCTTACTTGAAAAGAACATGACGCAATCACGTATGTTACATTTTTTTCTCTGCAACAGAAACGTATCTCATAAAATGAAAGAAAAACTAGCTGTAAGTGGAATTCTGTCTTAAAGCAATTAAGGCATCGTGCCTTAAGGCAAATTGCTGGAACTTCCTGTACCAAAAATTATTATTTTTTTAAAAACAATTAACATTTTTGAAAAAATTTTACTTCGAAAAAATTCGATTTTTGAGAAACTATAAATTTGACAAAAAATTACTTTTTTTAAAAAAAAAATTTTTTTTTGATACAAAATTTTTTTGAAAAGAATAATGTTTTCTTCATTTTGACATTTTTTGGAAATTCTGAACTTTTTTTCAAAGCAATCGTATTGCTTGAACTGCATAGAGACAAAATGTCAAAGCGCGCTAGTGCCGCGCCGCCGTCTAACGCATAAGCATTGGTACGGAACTCATAGAAATGTAAAAAAAAATACACTTATTGTTAAAATTTCTATAAAATATCTTTGATGTGCATATGTTTAATGATCATTTTTAACCGCCAGGTGGCATTTTATTTACTTTTTTCATTTGATATCCGAAACCGCTGGACCTGCCTTCATGAAAATTTGATCAATTCTTCATCTTGTCGATACAAGTAAAATGTTTTCTTAAAAACTGAGTTACTGTTTTCGGCACTTTTTGCCCCGTATCTTCGGAACGGCTAGACCTGCCTTAGCCAAAAACTAACCAGCACGTCTCCTTATCAATACAAATCGAATGTTTTTTGAATTATTCAAATCGGTTGATCCGTGTTCCCGAAATCGTCGACGAAAATTTATATCCGAACATACATACCTACAGGCACACACACACATACACACACACATACATCCATTTTTTCTAAGGTATGCCAAAATGTTCAAAAGGTTTTGAAACGCAATGATATATAAACATTTTTTTCGATTTTTTTGCGATTACTATAACTTGCCCTACGGGAAGTTAAATATTGATCAATTCTTTGTAATATTATACTTGTTTTAAAAAATTATCACAAGATTGAATATTATTAAAAATAAATAAAAAATGTTAACAAAAACTAAACAATTCAATATAAAACGTTTTTCGTCTTTCCTGAAAAGTAGTAGTTTTTAAGATACGAGGTTGCGTCATAAAACCATCGATATGTCCGAATAGCTCTTCAAATACATTAGATCAGCAAGACCATTAGAATTTTTAGAATGACTTATTTAATGTAAAATTCAAGTGTGTTTAGATCATAAAATTATCATTATTGGGATGTTTTTATTTGTACAATTTTATTTAAATATTTGGAGAGTTTCTAAATCCTCATAAATTGTTTCCTTCATATTTTTCTGGCACAAAACGTAAGATAATTTAGGGACTACAAAAAAAATCTACCAATATAAGTTATTTAATCTTATATGTGAAAATTTGTATTAGATAATATATTTTAATGCATGAACACTAAAAGTATTATCTATTTAGGACCAACATTCACTGAAGTCTTCAAAAGTTTCTCAAAATTTGGTGATACAAAATCTGATGGTAAACACATAACATTATCACAGAGCGATAAATGGATGAAGCAAGCCAAAGTCATTGACGGAAAAAAAATTACTACCACAGATACAGGAATTCATTTCAAAAAACTTAAAACAGTGAAAGCATCAATTGTAGATTATAAGAAATTTCTTGAAGATTTAGCTAAAGCAAAAAACATTCCTGTTGAAGACATTAAGAAAAAAATGACGGGTTGTGGAGCTCCAGGATTAACTGGAGTAGAGGTATGATTTTAACCATATTATATATATATCTTATATATAAAAATGACGCTGTCTTTCAAATGTCCGAATAAAACTCGAAAACGGCTGAATGGATTTGGCCAGTCTTAGTCTTGAAAAATTCGTGCCAATCCAAAGATTGTCCAAAAAGTGAGATATTATTTCAAAATCGCGTAGAAACTTCACATTTTTAATTTGAAAATTTTTGTTGATGCGTAATGTAAATAAAACAATAGACGGTGGCTAATACTTGAAATGTCAAACGTTTTTGACAGATGATGTTCGATTATGTTTAATAGGATGTTTAGGTAAATATTATTTAGTTGTGATTAAATTGTAGCAAGTAGTTTTGTTTGTAGTTTTATTTACATACAAAAACGTTAGTAAACGGGCCGCAAGTGTTACTAGAAACTCAAAATATCAACTTTTTTGAAATGTTAATATAAAAATGCACTTTTTGGCATATTTTTCTCAAACACGGTGTTCTGAAAGATTTCATTTATATAATTATATACTCATTGGTATTTATAAAGCATTTTCTAGGTTATATTATTTTTTATTCATTTTATTCAAATTCAAAACCTAAATTTGGTATCGATCGAAGGGACATTTTGCCTAATAACATTTTTCCAGTTATAATTTCGCAGAATTTATCGAAGAATAGATAGTATTATATGAAGGTCCGGGGGTTAAAAAGGTCCGCCAGCGATGTGTAAAAAACCAGTAAAGTTAAGCATTGTTTAACAAGAAACTGAAAAGTAGAGGGAAAAAGATGTATAACCAGCTATAACCTTGATTCTTATGACTTTGCTACCTGGAGATAAACGGTAATCTTTGAAAATCCATAATAAAAGTATTTTCTTCCGTTGGTAGTTTTTTAGCATTAGTTAAAAGTGTAATTATTTTGTAAAATACTTTTAAAATTAAAATTAGACATTAAACCTGTTTGCCACCTGGCCGTTCCATGTTATCCTGTCTATAGGGTAAAAAGGTCCACATAACAATTTTTTGAAAGACAGCAAAAAAAAGCACATTTTTACAATGATGAAGTAGCTTAAACTACTGAACGTAGTCAGATAATTGTTCGTTTGAAATGTATTATTTGTTGTGATATATTTGGTTTGCTTTTCATAATATAGTTTATATTTGCTCAAAGTCAAATTGGACCTTTGTGCCAAGCCCTGCTTTACATATATACATTTTATTAAATTTACTTCAATACATCGAATGTTACTTGAAACTTTTCAAAAAGCAGGTCAAAGAATAAATACTTAATTCATTTTCTATCTCTCCTCGCAGAAATTTGAAAATTTTGTTTAAGCTCAGTAGTATTATTTATAATTATACACAAAATCCCAAATCCAAAAAAAATCTGAAAAACTTGAAACGTAATCAATAAGTCGAAAGACCAAAAAAGACTTGGATTGGATTATACCATGTTTTCTACATAAAACTTCCAGTTTGATTGAATTGACAAAATATAGATAAACTAATGGGGTTCATTGTTTTAATAATGCATCATTGTATATAGCATTCATACAACACATCCTTATACACTTAAAGTATTAATTATTTTGATTATATATAGAAAGTTGAATAATGAATTATGACGAGAAATGGAGAAAGCAAAGACGAATGCAAAGACGCAACGTGTAACAGGATAATGAAACATCAAATACAAGATACGATTCAATGTTTCAATCTACAGAGGCGATGGATTGGACGAAAAAATAGCAGAAAACATAAATAGAAGTCAATAATAGAAATAGAGCACAAGAAAATTTTCAGCGTGTGGGAAAAATACATTGAGGAATTGTACAATAGGGAAAATTGTCCTGACAATAATGACATCGAAGAATAGACGACAAGGGACCATGCATATTGAAAAACGAAGTCTAGAAAGCAATAAAGAAAGAAAACAACGGGAGATGCGACATACGGGCGGTTCTGCTGAAGAAGCTGAGCAAAAACAGATTAAGGAAACAGGCGAAATTTCTGGACACCCTAGATGTCACGAAGATCTGAAAAAGCCCAAAGCGAACAAGTGCAAAGATTACAGGACGATCAGTTTGACTTTGCACACAGGAAAGGTGCTAGTGAACATCCTTACAAGACGACTCAAAAATGAGATCGAATAGCACATGAGCGAAAACCAGTTTGGTTTCAGAAAAGGATGAGGCACCAGGGATGCTATTGGAATATTGAGGATAATGTCTGTCAGATGTCACAACGTTAACGAGGACAAATGCATCTGTTTAATAGCTTGGTAGAAAGCCTTTAACAGAGAGATCGCAGGCTGATTCAGAACCTGTATATGGAATAGAAAATAAAAAGGTTCAAGTAAGCCACAGAGATACAATAGCGTTGAAATAGGTAAAGGAGTGCGGCAAGGACGCTGCCTGTCACCGATCCTATTCAACCTGTACGGAGAATGGCTCGTCAACGAGGCACTTGAAGACCCTAAAGATGAACTCCTGAGGATAACGGTAAGAAATCGAAAATTGGAAGAAGTGGATCATTTCAAATACCTGGGAAGCATCCTGACCAGAGACGGATACTGTACAAGAGATATCAGGATATAGAACGCAAGCACCAAGGTGATATTCACAAAGAAGAGAACGGTACTGACGAGCAAACTAAGTCTCGACTTGCGGAATAGACTAATAAAGTGCTATGTCTGAAGCATAGCTCTGTAAGGATCAGAGTCATGGACTCTAAGAAAGGCCAAAAAGAACTACCTAGAGAGTTTTTAAATGTGGTGCTGAATGTGAATGGTAAAGATCAAGTGGACAAACAAGATAACAAAAAAGCATAAAAAGAATGGACAAAGAAAGGTCTCTACTAAGCACAATCCTGAAAAGAAAAGGAAATTGGATTTGTATAAATGACAGATTGTCTAAATTTCTTAAGAAAGGTGCATCAATAGTGGTACCATATCTCTAAGTTAATTGGAATGGAGAACTATTTATTTTGTATCTGTTTTTTGCACTTTTAGCTCCTTATTTCCAAAACGGCTGGACCTGTCTTTGTAAAAAAACTAATGAGCACGTCGCCACCAGTAAGAACCGAAATCGTCGACGATAATTTATATCTCCACAAAACACAAACTCACATACATATACTTAAGAGTGTCTTAAAATAAATTGCTGGAACTTCTCGTACCGTGATAAAATATTATCTAAGCAATTCATTGAATGCTTACAATAGATTATTATAAATACAGTAATTTTCATTATTCGTATTTTATAAACAAAATATAAGAGCTTATAAATTGGACGACAATGTTTATATAAGTTTTCATAAAAAGTGAATAATACATGAAGCGGAGTTAGAATGAAGAAATTTATGTCATATTTCTCAAAATTACATAAACTGTATTTATATCTGGGAATACATTTAGATAGAAGATTAACCTGGCATGAACATATTCTAAAGAAGCGTCAGCAGCTCGAATTAACACGTAAGCAACTTAATTGGTTAATGGGCTGGAAATCACAAGTCACAATAGAAAATAAACTCCTAATATACAAGACAATTATTAAACCAATATGGTCCTACGGCCTACAACTATGGGGTGCGGCCAGTAAATCGAACATATCTATTCTACAAAGGTTCCAAAATAAAATTTTGAAAAAAATCGTGAACGCTCCAAAATACGTTCCCAATTGGTTGATACATCAAGATCTCAGAATTCGAACTATAGAAGAAGAAATTAGTCTTTACTGCACCAGATACAAAGCTCGTCTAAGTCGTCATCCAAACGTATTAGCGTCAGATCTGCTCAAGCCTTTACCACCAAAGCGTCTCAAAAAAAGATTCTGCAATAATTTGCTACAAAATATAACATAACATCTATGAAGGCGCTATCGCAGGATAGCGATCCTTCTCACGCAGTCAAATAATGTATAACTGTAACAAATGTAGCTGAATGTACTTTGTATAGCTTGCTATGAAAAATAAATAAAAAAAAATTATTGCAGAGTTGAAATTATTTATTTCAAATATATAAGTGAGCTTTAGAATTTTAACTATAATTATTTTTGATATTAAACAAAAAAATGGAAAACAAACATATTTTTTAAATTTTAAATTTAAAAAAATTGTCTTCACTAAAAACTAATCGTTTCTCTGAAACGGCTGGGCTTTTTTGCCAGAAACTAGTAACCACGTCTTCTCATCATTATGAATTGATTTTTTTTGAATCATTCAAATCGGATGTTCTGTTCTCTCAATTTAATTCTTTTAAGCCTAATTACCATTTTAGCTTTTCGGACAATTACTATAACTTACCCCACGGAAAGTTATTAATAAATTTATTAATAACATTTGAAAAGTTTTGGCTTGTGTCTCTATTTCAAACTCGGTACAACCGTTTCCATAAAGCGTATTACAGTTTTTAATAACAAATTGATCAAATAGAAATAGAACAACCGTTGATTTATCATCAGTAACGACACATTATCATTTAAAAGACATCATAAGTGCTCACAGGACTCATTAAGTTCTGTTAAACATATAATAAAAAATATATTTGATATTAGTAGTCTTCGGAACATAAAAGATCATAATTTCAATCAAATGTTTCTTTTTAGTGTACGAAGACACCATCGGCTGTAGAGCGTCTTACGGACACTTCGAAATATACTGGATCACATAAACAACGATTCGATGAAAGCGGAAAGGGCAAAGGAATTGCTGGCAGGAAAGATTTACCAGACAATTCCGGATATGTCACGGGGTACCAACATAAGGACACATATAATAAAATCCATTAGATTTAAATTATATATTTACATCGATATGAACTAAATAATAATTTATTATAAATATTATTGTATTTAAGTCACTAAAATGTACCACTGTCACTTAAAAAGTTGAAATTGCAAAATTTGCATCATTTTATTGTTAAAAATAATAAAATATGTCGTGTTATTATATTATATGAAGATAGTTTATCATTATACAATTATATTAAATGAATACAATTCGTAACTATTGATGAAATAATGTTTATAAAAGAGAAAGAAATTATATAAAAGTTCAATAAAAATTATTACTATAATAATTGTTTAGCGTATAATTTTGAGGAAAACAAGAAAAGCAAGATATCTTGAAGAACGTTTTATCTAGTTTAAAAGTCCTATTGCATATATGAGTATAGGGTAGACCGGGATCCACGAGTAAAAATATCCACCACAAATATCTCAAAAACATGCAAACTTAAAGATTTTTTAACAGCAATGATTGAAAGTAAAAGGATAAGCATGTGTAATCAGCCGTTGCCTTAAATCAAGTAACGTTGCTATCAGGAGGTAAACGGCAATATATAAGAAACTATACCAAAAGTATTTTTTTCGTTGTTAATTTTCTTGGTTGCGATCACTATTGTCTAGTTTACGAGAGCTTAATATATTTTTAAGTATACTTCAAACTTAAGTATACTTAAAAAATGCATAATTTGATAATTTTGTTACATCAAGATTGATTTTCTATATGAATGCATAAATTGCATATAATACGTTACATATAGTAGATCATGATCAATTTGAGGTATATACTAAATTATTTAATTTACAATTGCACATCACTTCTAAAAAATATTTGGGAAAACAACATTCTGGTAAATGATTTTTTCAAAAAGATTTTTTTTTACAAAACAAAATCTTATAGTTAGTTCATAGCATATAACATCGCACATACTTTTATATACATATGCTGGATAACGCAATTTACAGAAAAACAAATAATAATAAGTTTATTATTATTTAGACTGAAAATAACACTGATAATATTTGACTATAAACAAATATAAAAGCATTGTCAAACAAATCAAGCTATTTTATATATTTTGTAAGTCTATTCTAAATTCGCTGTGATTTGAATCATTTCCCTGAATTCGAATTAACACTACTCTACAAAAAATTCGTAATGTAGTATAGCCATAACATTTATGTTTATCGCCAAAATATAATAATGCAAATTACTAAAACTATTGCATTATTTTAGATATGTGAAAAATATGATTTTTATTATATACTTTACTACAAATTTAAAAATTATTATTTCGAGTTGATAAATAAAAAGTACAATAAAATTTTTATTATTAACAATAACGTTCCTTGGGTAATAAACTTAACTGCCAATAATAAAGATGCAGAATACATGTCTGTAATGACGAAAAATAGCAAAAAATGATTCCCAAATATAATTATTGCAGATTTGAAACAAATATTTCAATTTATACTATTTTAGGAAATGTGTAAAACTGCAATATGTTTTCCCTGGTCTATATGGAATGTATACATATTTTTAATTTGATTACACTGTTTTGAAGCGAGGGCAATTGAATTTCGTGCAAGGTTATATAATTGGCACATAGGAAGGAAAATGAGAACATCACACTAGTAATTTATTTAGTGTGAATATATATTGCAGAATTATTATTCAGAATATACATTTCTGTAAACAACGAGTTAAGAATAGATTAGTTTGTCAAAATATTTATAATTCAATCTGACTGCGAAGTCAAAAAATATCTTCAATGAGCTCCTCAGAATACAATTCGTTTAAAATGCTTTAAATCCTATAAAATAATACAATTACAAATTAGTTTGATCTACATAATATATGATAAATAAACAAAATAAAAACTACGTAATTTTTGTAATTTTGTAATGTGTAATACTGAGATCAGATGTCACAATTAGTTTCTCAGAGATATTAGCTTTACAAGCTGAAATTCTTTCTAAGTAGATCTTACTTAATCCATTTGATTAATACTGCAATTTCAAAATACTAGAAAGTCTCCAAAAATTATACTTACAATTATTCTTTAGTGAAGGTTGTAAAGTGTGTCAATAATATAAAAAAGATTTCAGTATAATATTTTCACAGTAGATTAATACTGGCAGCTCTTTTATAGATCTCATTCATATTATCGTATTTTTTGTCTATTGTGAAACAATTTCCAAAAATAAATTTGTTCACACAATATTTAAATAGATTTTAATTTTACAATTCTTAGCAAACTGAGTTATTAATTTTTAAAAATAGAAACAAAATTTTGAAACTATGAATGCAGAGTAACCATTAAAAATACATAATTAGATGTTCTCAGATTTGAAAAAAAATTTGAATTGTAGTTTTGTATTAAAATGAACAAAAGTTTATAATTTATTACAAGAAAGATTTATATAATGTGTTGACAGTTAAAAAGCTTCTAATAATGTTAATAAATTATATCTAAATTAGTTAATTATTTATAATATTGATTGGCTTAAAAATATATTTAACTTCAAATATATTGTAAAAATTTAATACATATTTGCATATTGTTCAATAAAAGTAGTAACGCACTAAATTATTATAAAAACTTATATAATAATTTAACGAAATTTTAATATTTCTTTAAACTATTTATCATATACTAGAGAAATATATGTAATTAATATCGATTAATTTTTGTTTCTTTTATGTAGCCGACATATATTTTAAATGGAAGTGTTAAAGTACTTTAAAGTATATAGAATTATCAAAATTATATTTCATTTACAAAATAGTTTAAAATTTATAAATCTGTATAAATATTCTTAGTGAAAATCTTTAGTAATAATTATCACAGAATCCCATTGAATCCCATTGATAGAAAGACGTGCTAATTAGTTTTGGCAAACGCAGGTCCAGACGTTTCAAAGATACAGGGCAAAAAGTGTCAACAATGATAAAGCAGTGTTTGAAAGAACGGAGCGTCCTATCTCAATAATTCAAAAAACATTTTACTTATTATATTTTGTATTGACAAAACGAAGAACTGATTGAATTTTTAGAGAGGCAGATCCAACGTTTTCGGAGATCCAATGAAAAAAGTAAAAAAATGACATTTGGCGGACAAAAATGATAATCTGACATATACATATCGAATTATCAAATATTTTATCATATATTTTATAGATATTGATAATAAGTACAAATATAGATTACAATTCTATGGATTCCGTGCCAATGTTTATCATTAAAACTGCAACGCGGCGCTTACGCGCTACCTCTCTACGCAGCTAGGCCAACCATAACTTCAGAAAAAGTTGAAATATTTCAGAAATTTCAAAATATTAAGTATAAAAAAGTCAAATCTGTATAAGAATTCCAAAATACCTAATTTTTTCAAAGTTTTTAAACTAAATAAATCTCCTCTAACGATTTTAATTATCTCTACGGGAAGTTCTAGCAATTTGCCTCAAGACACGATCTTTGAAAAAATAATCTTTATATATATATATATATATATATATATATATATTATATTATATATATCTACATATATATAAAAATAAGTCTGGTTTTCCTTCCTGACGATATAACTCCAGAACGCACGAACCGATTTCGACAATTTGGCATTCGTTGGTATGGTCTCGGGCTCCGCAAGGTTTATAGCTAAGAAAATTAATGATGCATGGCATCGTGCCTTGATGCAAATTGCTGGAACTTCACGCACCGTAATTAAAAATTCGAGTAATGACATTAGTGAGAATTATCAGAATTATGCTTGGTTAAGTGAACGAGCAATTCTTGCCGCAAGGAATAATTATGTACCGGACTGAATTTCACCATTCAATAAAAAATTGCTGGCGATTTGGTGACATACCAATGATTCCGACTGGTCTTCCGTTTGACTTCAAACGATTTCAATTTCCAGTTCGCCTTGCGTTCGCAATGACAAGGCCAATCGCTTAGTGTTTGCGGGATAAATTTAAAAAATCATTGTTTTTCACATGGGCAGTTATACGTTGCCTGTTCACGAGTTGGGAAACCATTCGCTATGTTTGTGTTAACGTCAGACCAAAAAACAAAAAATGTGGTTTACCACAATGAGCACTTCAATAAAACGGATAATTTGTGGATTCACTTTCGTTTACTTAGAGAAGTTCAACTAAAAAACACTTCATTTTTGTAATCGAAATAAATTCATTACTGTTGTGTAATAAAATCAATTTTTTTCTTTTCAAATATAAAACAAACAAAAAAATCCTTTATCTTTCTCACAAAACCATCTGGTGGCAAAAAGGAGTTCGTCGGGTTTGCTAGTGTATATATATATATATATATATATATATATATATATATATATAATAAAATATTTATATTATTAATAATTATTCCGGTTACTCAATTATATATAAACTATTTAATTACCAATCAATTGTTATCGATACTTAAAAGCTCCTAAATTCCAATCGTGATATAACTATCTTCCCATTTTTATATATATTTAATTATATAATTATAAACTAATGATAAGTATTTTCATGAAGCAATTACAAGTTGTTTTATGGGGTTCTTCCTATGTGATGGGTTGAAAAAATCGATTTTTTTTTTCATAAATTGCTCCCTTAACATGTCTAGAATACGATAGTGAAGCGATTTTAGAAAATTCGAAGTCGTTTTAAAGATACAGCAGGTAAAAGAAAGAGTGGTTCGGAGCGCTGAGTAGGGACTTGAAACTTTAAACGCGTTTTTCTCAAAACTGTGTTTTTCAAACTTTTCTCCATTGTATCTCAGAAACGGCTGGACCAAATTACTTGAAATTTACAGGGCACACTCAATATATTTAAACGCATGGAATGAACTAGTATCAATCGAAAATTTTCAAACTTCAAAAAAAACGCCTAATTTGCAACTTTTATTTCAAATGTCTATCAAAAATCCAAATTTTTTTTATATTCATTTGATTATAGGTCATTCCGTGCTTTTAAGCCTACAAATTAAAACGCCGATAATTTTTTTTTTTCAGGTAAGCCGATCAGCCGGAATCGTGGAGGA